TGGAGGGTTGAGTGGCAGCGTCAAAGGCAAGGCTGAGATCTTCAGGGTGTGGTCAGAGTTTTAGAGGTGGCCACAATTCCAGGAAGCCTGAGCTCCCCCTACTGCGTGAGACAACATGTCCTCGATAACTGTATTCACGGCACTTTGCTCTGATTTTTTAGAGTCCCCATGAACCACAGAATTAGTAATCCACAAAGTGTGGAGACGTGTGTCGTGTCTGTGCATAAATTTTCACCTGAAAACCTCACCTGGGTGATTTTTTAACAGAATTAACCTTTAAGTTTTGATGTGAAACTAACTGTGGCCTCAGGGCATGCCAGGTGATGGTGGAAACAGCATTCTGGTCTGACAGTGACATACGTTGCCTGTTAAACATGCCACAGAACCGGGGAAACCCAGCATTGTGGCAATTATCTCAATAATTAGGCAAAAGTAAACGTTATCCTCCTGCTTTTTCCAAAGTTGACCTTAGATGGGAGGTCACTGATACTTTCTCTTGTGGGCAGGCCAAAGTCCTCTGCTGACATAAATCCAAACACTGCTATTTCCAACATATGTGGAGGCTGATAATTTGCCTCATCTGCACACACCTGCTTTCTCATTAGCACATCTTCCCTCCAGCTCTTCTTGTCATAAGTACCATATGAATAGCTCCTAATCTTTACCTTTTTACCCAAAACTGTGATGACCTGTACACACACAGGGGGATCGCCTATGTATCCAGGAGAATGAAGGGTATAAAACATTAAAGTGACACCATTTATTACAGCGCTCAGATGAAAGATTCCCTTTAATTGTTAGGATGTTTACAAATTCCTATAAAGTCTGAAACTTCAGGATTTACAAATTGTCAGTTAGGACTTGGAGAACGTGGGGGAAGTCAACTCGAGGGAAAAGGTTGACATCACTTGTACACACCCTTGGCCCGCAGTCCCCTTGGTTCTCATGTCTAAATCAGACTCTCACCCTGAGTGGGGTTTGGGGATGAATTTTTGAATCCACAGAGAGTCAGTTTACTGTGGGGCTCAGTCAATTTAGTACCATGGGCATTCCAAGAAGATCACACTGATGTAGTGATGACTAATTAAATAGTAATGGAGATTTATAGCATGTTGGATGTCACATTTAATCCTACTAAAACACATTATGGCTCCACAATAAATCTTCCAAAAACAGTCTGTTCTAGTTCTACCTTTATGTTAAGCTGGGTGCACCAAACAAAGCCCATGGGTTGTTTTTGGTTATTTATGACTAGAGGCCCGGTGCACAAAAATTTGTGCACTCGGGGGGGAGGGGGGGTCCCTCAGCCCGACCTGTGCCCTCTCGCAATCTGGAACCCCTCAGGAGATAACGACCTGCTGGCTTAGGCTTGCTCCCGGGTGGCAGAGGGCAGGCCCAATCCCTAGGTGCAGCCCCTAGGGGGGTTGGGGCTCCATACCCTATCTCGCACAGAGCAGGGTCAATCAGGGGGTTGGGGAGCTTCCCTCTGTCATGCACAGAGCAGGGCCCATCAGGGGGTTGGGAAGCTCCCCCCTGTCATGCACAGAGCAGGGCCCATCGGGGGTTGAGGAGCTCCCCCCTGTCACTCACAGAGTAGGGCCAATAGGGGAGTTGGGGCACCGCCCCGTCACACAGAGAGCAGGG